AGATGTGTATGAAAGACATTTTCCCAGCTTCATTGTCCATTGCTTGCAACTGGAAAAAGTTTGATTGGGAAAGACCGAATCAAGTTGAATTACTGAACCAGTAACTTGAGATCTGTTCTATTTGTTTTTTTTTTAAATAAACCTTGTTCTTTACTTGGATCGTGGAGATGCAAGATGCATAAAATGGATAATGGTTATTACATGAACTATGCTGGTTAAGATTTCAAATAGATAAAGAACTGTTTAGTTTAGCAAGTTGAACCCCTACTGGTTTTTTTTTAATAGAGAGATAATAGTCTCCTTGTTCTGAGATCCCTTAACTCTGGTTTGATGAGTGCAGATATTGTGACTGTCCTGTATCAAATCCGGTGTAAGCCATTGTTTTGTAGCCTGCTTAATTAAAGGTTACATCTTTTGTTCTCTTTCTTTCTCCCAGCAGTACTTGTGTGTGACCCTAGTGTTACCTGCATTAATTGCTGAATTATATGGGTGGTTTTGTCATATCTGGTGAACATATGAATTATACCTCAGGTTGTAGAGTTCACAGAGTTCAAAATAATCTGATTTCCAACAATAGACAGAGGTTAGAAGGTTCCTAGTCTGATTAGTTCCAAAGTCATGTCTCCTAAAGTTGGATATTGAATGGCTAGCATAAGATTAACTTAATAAATATCCTGTTTGAAGCTATCGGAGTAGGGCTGATGGTGCTTGTCATTCAGCACCACCAAAAGCATTTTCCAGTGGAACAGCCAGTTAACAAAACCAATGTATATTAAAAAAAAATAATAATACATGCATTCAGCACAAGATCATAAGGACTATTCTTTTTCATCAGATACTTGGTGTGTTATCTACAAAGGAGAGGGCAGAGAGAGACGCATGTAGAAAAATAAAGACCCTTGTAACATTAAACACTAACAAATTCATTACGGTTTATAGTGTATGTTCGTTAGTCCCTAAGGACAGTAGTAGGAGAAGGAATCTGGTGGTCTTCAGACTTCTATAGCTTTTAAGTGCCCATCTACTCCAGTCTGCATATCTAGTGGTAAGAAATTATGAGAGTTCAAAGTTAGGATCTATTGTCGTTAAGGAAAATAAATAAAAAAGTTCATATCCAATTTTTTTTCATCCTTATTATAACATATGTAAATTTTATCTGATTAATTTATAATAAAGTTGATGTACAATATATTGCTTAAGTTTGGAATTAACCCTCCCCTCCCAAGCTACTCTGAAGTTATCTAAATGATGTTATTTAGAGCGATTTAATAGAAAATCAACTTCAAGTCAATACAGTATTAAACCTGGAAAGTAATTTGAACCCCTATATAATAGAGCACAGTAACGCCTCTGTATCTGTACTTTTTAATAACATCCATTCTGGATTATCATCGCATAATATTGGAAAGATGAAGAAATACTGCAAGATGAAGAGATAATGAAGAAGATAGATTAGTGATGGCAAGCGGACTGGAGTCCTGGCCAGCGTGCATGTGCATCAGTGGTGGGATTCAAATAATTTACCAACCAGTTCTCTGCCCTAATGACCAGATGGGTAGGCGGGGCTCGGTGGTCATGTGATCATGTGGGCGTGGCCAAGTCAATGTCACTCAGGTCGATGGGCACTTCGTTTTAGTTGTTACAATGGTAATAAGGGTTAGAGCCAAAGTGGCGCAGTGGTTAGAGTGCAGCACTGCAGGCTACTTTAGCTGATTGCTAGTTCTGCAGTTCGGCTGTTCAAATCTCACCGGCTCAAGGTTGACTCAGCCTTCCATCCTTCCGAGGTGGGTAAAATGAGGACCCGGATTGTTGTTGGGGGCAATATGCTGACTCTGTAAACCGCTTAGAGAGGGCTGAAAGCCCTATGAAGCGGTATATAAGTCTAACTGCTATTGCTATTAAGCGGAGAGGCAGTTTCTGTAAGCAGGGCAATAAAGATTAGGCTAGAAACAACACCAGAATGTTTCCTTCCTGCCTTCCTTACAGGATTAGCCCCGTAAAGTGGGGAAAAAACAAAAGATTTCTTCCAGCAACCGTTTCGCCGAACTGCTTAGAAAGTTACCAACCGGTTCTCCCGAATAGGTGCGAACCGGCTGAATCCCACCACTGATGTGATGCCAGAAACCAGAAGATCAGGTGGCCGGTGTAGCATGCGGACCGGCCAGTGGTCTTAGAGTTTCCAGGCTCCAGAGAACATGCGCATGCGCACACATTCGGGTTTGGGCAATTGGTGCCGAAAAGGTTCGCCATCCCTTATCTATGCTAATTTGTTATTTTATTCTAAAACTACAGCGTAATTCTATATTCTCCATTAAAAGTCCGCTCATACGCCTTCCTATGCTATAGCTTTCAAAAGGCTTATGATAGAATTCAGTATTATTTAATTTACTGCTTAGAAAATGAAAGTAGTTTTCGTTGTCTCTTTAATGATTCAATTCCCCCTCTCATTCATTCATCCCAGTTAATCAAGGTGCATTTAAAAGCTGTCTTCCAGTCATTTTTGGCAGGAGGTGGGAAGTGGGGATGAATAGAAATAATTTCTTTTCACTCACATTTGGGAAGAATGATGGAGGAAGATATTGTATGCAATAGCAATAGCAATAGCAGTTAGACTTATATACCGCTTCATAGGGCTTTCAGCCCTCTCTAAGCGGTTTACAGAATCAGCATATCGCCCCCAACAATCCGGGTCCTCATTTCACCCACCTCGGAAGGATGGAAGGCTGAGTCAACCTTGAGCCGGTGAGATTAGAACCGCTGAACTGCAGATAACAGTCAGCTGAAGTGGCCTGCAGTACTGCACCCTAACCACTGCGCCACCTCGGCTCTATAATATTACTTAATTAATATTAAGTATGCCTACTCAGTGAAGCAAGCTATTTGTTTTCTAATCGAAACCCAATAATACTTCCTACCATTTCAGACATATACCATTAAAATTATAAATATGGCATTTTGTGCTTTTTAAATATTTTCTTAATGAAGAGAATCTTTATGGTATTCAGTAATGCTCTGTAGGAAGTTTACAGTCCTTTAGAGCAGATGTTTCTGGGAGTTTTCTGGGTGTTGTTTGAATATTGCTTAGATATTCCCATATATCCATTCTTATAATTACTTTATTGTTATTTGGAAACTACTAGCATTTTATCAATTGGGCTACTGCTATGGATAGGTAATCCAGTGTGAGTTTAATTTTTTTATAATACTAATTTTTGCTGGGTTGATAACTCATAGCCAGTGCTATATATTGTCCAGATTTTGATTAATTATAAATATTGCCATGACACAAGGCTGGGATTGGATCTTACAATAAAGATGATTTATTTTATCATATTTATTTGATAGGGAATAATAATGTTAGGGCCTCGATCATGTTTATAAACCATTAAGGTAAGAGCTGCATAGGAAACTACATTGTGGTTTCATATGATACGTGAATTCAGTCTAGACCTTGTTCTAGATGCAAACTGAAAATCAAATTAAAGCAGTAGCTGTTCAAGACCAAGGGGCTAGATCAGTGGTTCCCAACCTTATTTTGGGCCATGCACCACCTAAGCATCTTTAAAATCCTGATCCCACCCCATCCCCCTGTGACATATAATTCTTACTTTACTCAAAAAATGAACTCTACTCACGCGGAGGAAGGCCATTAACTTGGTTTAAACAAGGTTCCAAATTTGCTCCCATTAAAAATCAAATTGCCCGCCCCCTCCCGTGGGGCAGGGCCCCCACATTGCAAACCACTGGGCTAGACAGATGTTGCTTTGGGATTCTGATGTTAGAAAAAGGCCAGAAATAAATCTGCTTTTCCGCCCTGTTTCCCCTGATTTAAAGCGTTCTCCTTTAAAAGAGACAATAAAAGAGGAGTAACGAGATAAAACCGATTTTGTTTTAAATTACACAACATGATTATACTGGCTAACATATTGCTACTTCTTTTCAGAGACCAGAATACTACGGATCCAGGTTTGGAGTATGTGAAGGTATGAAATATGACTTAATTACTTTCATAATTTAAAAAAAGAATGTTAAAGCCTCTATTTTATTAGTAAATTATTGTAAATGCAATAATATATTCCTTCTTTGGTTCATTAGATCTAATTTATTATGGTAGTTTGACTTCTTTAAAAAAAAAGCTTGACTTATTTTGTTTTTAAAGAGAGAGTGATAACTAATTAGATTACTTGAATCAAGCTTGGAGAAAGCAAGATCAGATTGCAAACTTAGTAATTAATCACCACTGTCGCTAACGGCTTTTTCATTTTCTCTTGGTAATATTCCAGCAATCATCCTGTTATATCAAAGTAGATGAAAGGAAGTTTGTAATTTGATCTTCACTCTCTTTGGAACAAGCTGCTTTAATATGAACAGAATGTCTATCTGTAGGACACATTCATTCCAAATGCTGAAATGGTGAATCAGTGTTGGAAAGAAAGCTAAGAAAATTAGAGCAATTGATGAGCCCTGAATCTATCTAAACCAGTGCTGGGTTTCAAAAATTGTTCGAACCTACTCTGTGGGTGTGGCCTCCTCTGTGGGAGTGGCTTGCCGCCCATGTGACCGGATATGAAGATGCCGATGACGCTTGTCAGAACCACCTTAAATTACCTCACACACAGCACTGGCATGCATAAGAATAGGATGTCAACTTGTTTTTTAAAAGGCATCTTTGGTTTGCGTTAAAACAACTTCAACACACGCAATGTTCTGATTGCACCACAAACGCAGTAGTCATCCTTACCTTTCACAGAGGCACTGAGTTTTATAAATATGAGCATGATAGTGTAGAATAATCATATCCAAGGACCAGTGGTGGGTTTCAAAAAAGTTTGGAACCTCTTCTGTAGGTGTGGCCTGCTTTCCGGGTCCACTGGTGGAACCTCTTCTAACCGGTTCGGTAGATTTGACGAACCGGTTCTACCCTAAAGGCAGAGCCATGTCTTGAGGTACTTCCAGAAAGTAAGGAGGAATGGAGCTGACCTTACCTCTGGGGCGGGTGATATTTCACAAGGCAGACACCTCAACAAAGAAGGCCTCCTTGGGCTTGCCAAGTATGTGTTGTGGCTTGTCAGCCATCGACCCCATCTGCAGCCGAATCAGAGGAGGCGGAGGAGTGTGAGTCAGGGTCAGTATCAAGGCAACCTGAGAGCTCCGAGGGGGAAGAGGGAATGCAATTGGCAAAGGAAGAGACAGAGGTGGAGCCTGGGTCATCCATCAGCCCTCAGATGGAGAGTCAACAGCCCTCAGGTCTGGAGGTGGCTGATGAGGAAGAGGAGGAACAGCTGGGTCCAGTACCTGACATACAGATGCGCAGAAGGCAGAGAGGAGAGGAGAGCAGTGGAAATCCATGGACTGACCCTTGGAAAGGAAGAGCCACCGCTACTAGCGAAAGCCCCATCCTAGCGCTGGGGATAAGAGGCAGCGGGTGGAGATGACGAGATGTGACGGACAACTGAACAGATTTCTTAGCCTATGGTGAGAGAAACCTTTTGAGCCGTGTTGGTGCAATTGTTAGAATGCTGTACTGCAGGGTAATTCTGCTGCCTGCCGCCTGCCAGCAGTTTGGCAATTTGAGTCTCACCAGCTCAAGATTGACTCAGCCTTCCATCCTTCCGAGGTTGGTAAAATGAGGACCCTGAGTGTTGGGGGAATAAGATGACTCTGTCCAAAGAAAGGGTTTAGAGAGGGTTGTAACGCACTATGAAGCAGTATATAAGTGCTGTTGTGGCCCAGCAGGAGCCGTTGGAGCTGCCACCAGACTCCGATAGCGAGGGATCCTATGAGTCAGCTCTGGAGGATGTGGAGGATCCTGGACAGGGTTCCGACTCTGAGCAGGGCGCAGAGAGGCTGGTTGGCCACCAGGAGGCACCTGAGCCTTGGACCAGTGGGGAGGAGACAAGGGAGAGTGAGCCAGAGGCCAGCAGTGAGTTGTTCCTGGATGCCTGGCACCGAAGAGCTAATAGGCGTCAGGAACAGTTGCGCAGTTACAGGAGGTAATTGCCCTCAGCTGGTGGTTATTAGGCTCCTCTCCAGACTATAAAAGGACTGCTTGTGCACACGCCACTCTTTGCAGAAGTCAACGCAGGAATGAATGTCGGAGGACATTACTGTGAGCTTGACAGGCTGGATTGCTGCCAAGCCTTATCTGTGCGGGATTGCTGCCCAAGCTTGTCTGTGCCGGTTTGCTGCCAAGGACCTGTCTGTCTGTTAATTAAATGCCGTAACTTATCTGTGGCTCGGAGTGTGTGTTGGTGTAGGACGAGGGGGGGTCAGAACAGAATGCTATTGCGATAATTTCCCAAGAGACAAGACCTACAGCATGACTCTCTTGCCAGATTTGAAGGGACAAGCGGATGTAATGGGGGAGATGATACCTCACCTTATGGTGACGAATGTGTTCACTCATAGTCTGGTGTAGATGCTGAATAGGAGCAGAGAGAGAGAGCACTGAACCTTTTAGCAGCCTACACAGTGGAGACCGGGGGTGGGATCTCTCCTTCCCAAGCTCCACTGACTGGAACCAATCTTGGAAAAAGGAGATGAACCAGCACAACACAGCTCTGGTGACTTTCAGTCCTGGAAGTGTGTGTATTAATGCAAATTATATTCAAAAGTTATCAAGCAATGTCCAAGGATGATGTGGTTTATTTATCAACTATGGTTCTAACTCCTCTATTTTAGTTTTCCTTGTAAATATACAGGCAGTAAATCTTGTTTGTTTACCTTGAACTCAGAGAGGCTAATTGCCCCAAAGGTTGTCCATTAGTGATTGCACTTCTTCATTTCAGATAATCTTTGACACATGCCTATTACAGAAGGAAATGACTTTGATAAGCAGGAAGCCATAAAAATGATCCTTAAATTGCAATTCTCTGCAATGGGAGTGACCTTTGAAATTGAAAGAACTTCCAGGTAATCCCCAATAGGTCATACCTTGGAACTTCCGAGTAACCACGACTAGATCAACCGCGCAGTTTGAGGTAAGATAGGGATGTACTATAGTCAGATGATCATTTCAGGCTAATGGGGGAAGGGATTTCGCATCGGTTGAGAAGCCATTGCTTGCTTTTCAGTTTGCCTGGCTTTCAAAAATGCTTGCAGAATTTAAAAAAAATAATAAAAATGTTACATTAACAAGATTAAGGACGGAACTTGAAAATAGGTAGTCCTGTAATTTCTTCTGGACCTATCTGAGACACTGTTTTATCTAATTCATTTGTGAAGAATTATATTTCACATCTGAGGAAAAGGTCTCCAAAATATTTACATTTGGAGCTAAAGGCGGTGAAGAAATATTTTTTGGTTCCACAAATGGCAACTTGTCGTTCCTCTATTTCACAATTTTAGACCTCATGGCATAGAATCTAGCCAGTTTCATATGAACCTTGGTCAAAAGAAGGAGCCAGAAATTGTTCTTTGGCAAACTCCATTCGCATGTGCAATATGCCTACCATGTAATATCCTGGACTTCGCTCTTGCAATGAACTGAAACTTGAGGGTTTTTTTTGTTCTGTGTTTTTTCATGGCTTCTCACAGTCATTGAACCTGCCTTGGTCAAAGAGTGAATGGAACCGTTTACCCACCTTACCTTTTGGTATGCAAATTATCATTTTTGCAAGTTGATAATGTCCTAACAAATTAGGGCAAAGTACATCAACTGCAGAAGAATGGTAACAGTTTATTTGCATCCCAACATCAGAACACCAATTTGCCAAATGAGCAATGGTCATCATTCTCTACGTATGGGAATTCCACATAGCCTTGTCAATCAACTTTCAATCACAATTGGCATCATCTTTCTGTTGCTAAGCAAAGTGGTTGTTAAGTGAATTGCCTCTGATTTTACAACTTTTCTGCCATGGTTGTTAAGCAAATCATTTCAGTGAATCACATGGTCACTAAGTGAATCTCGCTTTCCCCTATTGACTTTGCTGGTCAAAAGTTGGTTGGGGAAGTCGCAAATGGTGATCATGTGACCCTGGGATGCTGTAACCTTTGTAAATCGAGGCCGGATGCCAAGTGCCTGAATTTTGATCGTGTGACTTTAGGGGTGCTGTGATGGTGATATATGCGAGGACTGGTTGTAAACAGGGGTGAAATCTACTTACCTCTGCTACCAGTTCCATAGCAATGTGAGCAATGTGAGCGTGTGCCAGAGGTGGGTTCCTACCAGTTCGCACCTATTCGGTAGAACCGGTTCGTCAAATCTACCCAACCGGTTAGAAGAGGTTCCCCAGTGGACCCGGAAACCGAACCGGTTAGAAGAGGTTCCACCAGTGGACACCTACAGAAGAGGTTCC